ACACACACACACACACACACACACACACACACACACACACACACACACACACACAAAAGAACAGCACAGATGCCTCTTGTGGCTCTGGTTTGGGCACTGGTGACCCAGTATGGCGCGGTGCAGTTTTTGTTAACAGGGGCGGGCAGTAAAAGATGGAGTGAGAAGTTTGCTGTTTGGACCTTTAAGAACATCTAACTGTCATAATGAAGCCATGGACCAGTCGAGTTCTGCTGCGATACTAAAGCTTTTTTTCTACCTCACAAAAACTTTCTATTTCTTATTTGACATTGCTGAAAACAGGGAGGGGATAAGGCACAGAGGTACTGGTTGTTCGCATCTCCGAAAGTTAATCATTTATGTTTACAGCTCTGACACGATAATAACCAGGAGAAACAAAAGCCAAAGGTCTTAGCCATCCATCAGTACAAGGAAGCCCTCTGAGTGTCATCAGGTAAGTCCAACTTCTAATAGATTCACTTTTAGCCTTTTTTGTCTTTTTCTGTTATTTTTTGTTGATCAAAATAGTTGTTCTTCGCACTTGTGAAAATGTTTTACATCAAGGGAATGACAAAAATGTGATTGTCTTCAGTAAAATATTAATTGGATTCATCCTACATTACATAATAATAATTATGTTTGTCTTTTAAATTAAATATATATGAATATATATATACAACAATGGATGAGATGCCCAAAAGTGTTAAAAATTTAAACAGCTGTAATTGATTATACCAAGTTTTATTTATAGACAGATAACAAATAGATAGTTCATAGATGTTACAATGTTGGGTTTTGGAACCAGCACTGCTTTACTTTCCCACACACAATCATAGTGTTATACAAATCTTTAAATATAAACTAATGAATTACAGCCAAACTTGTTAGTTAAATGAATAACAGAACATACAAGTAAGAACTAATTGAATCAACAAGAGTCAACACCTGAAAAAAAATTCTGAGGTGTATTTCTTTTATTTGCCCAAGTCCTGTTTGTTCACCTGGATGGGCAGAACTTTAAAGCTGTGCTGGGATTATCCTGTCGGGGCACTGTAATGGCATCAACTTCTGCTAGATCAACCAGTGACTTAACAGATTCTGTGTAACTGGATCGTATATATTTTAACTGGTTTTACTTTGTGACACTATTTCATCATGACTTCCCCCCATAAATCTTGTATCATTTGAAAGGGAATAAAAAGCCATTAAATGAAGTATTYCAGGTAGRGATATTCCCATTTTTTTYCTCAAACAAAGTACAAGTACTTCAGTACTCGTTGATACCAAGTGTGTACTAAATTTGAACTTAAACATTGCACAATGACTTTAAAAACCCAATCATTTTATTGAAAACAAGATGTCTCTCCTTTCATACAGGCTGTAGGCCTGTATAACCGAATCAAATAAACACCATTGTTGCAATAAATAAATAAATAAATGTTCTTACAACTTATATACACTTTTTAAACATGGAACTGGCAAACCTTTCACTTAAAATGTGATCTGTGACTTATTCAATGGAATATTTATAC